CCCCACAGAGGACAGAGAGGAGTGGGTGCGTACCAAGACGATCGAGTATGAAGCCCTCTGTCTCTCTCTCTCTCTCCTCTTGCCCTCTCCCTCCCTTGCCTTGCCCGCCTGAGTGGATGGGCGTGGCGTACGACTGACTGCCTGTACACGCGACACGGACTAGTGAGCTTCTCACTTGGCTGCTTGCTTCATTCATCAGGGGATCGATCACACATGGGGAGCTATGACAGCACCGGTTCTTGTGGCTGCGACGGCGGGGACGGCGGCACCTCGGTCGTGCGGCCGGGGACGCTCAGCACCAGACGGTCGTTCTTCACCGCAACCGATATCAGGTCGCCTGCACATCACGGTGAGAGTGTGTGTGCCCATCCTCCTCGATCGTCCCTCCTCACTGACTGACCTTCTTTGAAGTCTCCCTTGAGGATCCCCTTGGCGATGGGTGTCTCGACTTCCCTCTGGATGGTCCTCTTGAGCGGCCGCGCGCCGTACTGCGGGTCGTAGCCGATGTCGGCAATGTAGGCCATGGCGTCCCCGTCGACGCGCAGCTTGATGTTCTTGTCGAACAGACGCTCGGCAACCTTGGCCAGCTCCAGACCTACGATCTCACGCAACTCTGATGACACAAACATAGAGAGAAAGAAAGAGGGAGAGAGAGGGTAAGTGGTTGCCTTGGTTGGTCGATCAGTGCCTGCCTGGCATGCTGGCTGCTTACCGTCTTTGACAAGCGAGTCGAAAATGACAAACTCGTCGATGCGATTGAGGAACTCGGGGCGGAACGTCTCGCGCACGGCGTTCATCACACGCCTGCACATGACACAACACAACACATATCACATAACACATTTCCCACTCTGTGTGGCCCGTGCCCCTTTCTCTCTCTCTCTCTCTCGTTGGCGTACGTCTTGATCTCTTGCGACAGAGATCGGTCTCCGGCGAGTTCCAGGATGCTGGTTGAGCCGATGTTGGAGGTGAATATGATGATGCAGTTCCTGAAGTTGACGGTGTTGCCCTTGCTGTCCGTCACGCGCCCGTCGTCCAGGATCTGCAGCAAGATGTTAAACACGTCGGGATGGGCCTTCTCCCTGCACACACACACACAGACACGCCGCGGCAAACCAAACCGACACACAAGTGTATGGTGTTTGTCGTGTGTCTGTCTGTGCTTCGTGTGGCTGACTACTGACATTTCGTCGAAGAGGATGACCGAGTAGGGCTTCCGTCTGACTGCGTCGGTGAGCTGCCCGCCCTGCTCGTAGCCAACGTACCCCGGGGGCGCGCCGATGAGCCGCGAGACGGTGTGCTTCTCCATGTACTCGCTCATGTCCAGGCGGATCATGGCGTCCTCTACACACACACACACACACACACACAGAGAGAGAGAGAGAGGGAGAGACAGATCAACATCACCTCAATCAACAGATCGGCCCGTGCGCTGCCTACCCGTGTCAAACATGTACTGCGCCAGCGCTTTGCAGAGCTCGGTCTTGCCGACGCCAGTGGGTCCGAGGAAGACAAGCGACGCGATCGGCCTGTCCGGGTCGTTGAGCCCCGCCCTGCTCCTCTGAATGGCCTCCGACACCACCTTGACAGCGTCGTTCTGGCCCACGACCCTCTTGTGCAGCTGGTCCTCGAGATTCATGAGCTTGTCCCTCTCAGTCTGGCTGAGCTTCTCGGCGGGTATTCCGGTCCACATGGAGATGACGGTAGCGATGTCCTCGACAGTGACCTCGTCGCGGAGGAGCCGCTGGCCGCCCGCCGTCTCCTCGTTGTACTTGTCTTCCTGGTCACGAAGCTGCTTGTCCAAATCAGGCAGCGTCTCGAACCGAAGCTCAGCTGCACGATTGAGGTCGAAGTCACGCTCGGCTGCAGGCAGGCAGGCAGGCATACACACACAGAGGGAGGAGGGATTGAGGGGCCCGTTGGCTTGGCTGTGTGTTTGTGGATGTGTGTGGATGGTGGATGTGTGTGCGTGTGTGTGTACCTTTATCGATTTCGACTTTGACGACATCGATTCTCTCCTTGAGAGCCCTGATCATGTCCACGCGCGACTTCTCCTTGCTCCACGCATCCGTCAGAGAACCCTGCACACACACGCACGCACGCAGGAGCAGTCATTCAATCAGCCGGCCTCTGTGGATGGATGGATGGATGAGTACGTCAAGGTGTGGTGTCCGCTGTGCACCTACCTGTTCAGCCTTCAGCCTCTCGATTTGGCTCTCGATGCTGCGCAGCCGCAGCAGCTCCTGCTCGTCCTCGAGAGTGCGCTTCCCATCTGCACAGAGATACACACACATACACAGAGTCACAACATACTTCCCATTTCCTGCCTGCCACTGACCTCCGGTGATTGAGATTTTCTCCATCTCCAGCTGGATGAGTTTCCTGTCGATCTCGTCGAGCTGCACGGGCTTGCTCGTGACGGCAATCTTGAGCCTCGCGGCGGCCTCGTCCACCAGGTCGATGGCCTTGTCGGGCAGGAACCGGTCGCTGATGTACCTGTGGCTCAGCTGGGCCGCAGCCACGAGGGCCGAGTCGAGAATGCGGACACCGTGGTGCACCTCGTAGCGCTCCTTGAGGCCGCGGAGGATCGACACGGTGTCCTCGACCTGCGGCTCGTCCACCGACACCTGCTGGAAGCGGCGCTCGAGGGCCTTGTCCTTCTCGATGTACTGGCGGTACTCGTTCATCGTCGTCGCGCCGATGCAACGCAACTCGCCGCGGGCAAGCATCGGCTGGACAATCACACAGACAGATCGACACAGACAGATGGACATAGAGAGGTGAGGAGACGGAGATGGATAAGATCGATCGTGTTGGCGTCGGTCGCACCTTGAGGAGGTTTCCAGCGTCCATGGCGCCGTCCGATGCGGCCCCCGCGCCGACGACGGTGTGTATCTCGTCGATGAACATGACGATCTGCCCCTCGGCCTCCTGCACCTCCTTCAGGACCGCCTTGAGCCTCTCCTCAAACTCGCCCCGGTACTTGGCACCTGATCCATGAATGGCGGCAATGGATGGATGGATGGCTATGTGAGCGGCTGGCTGGCTGACCTGCGATCATGCCGCCCATGTCGAGTGCGACGAGTCTCCTGTTCTTGAGGGAGTCGGGGACGTCACCCGACACGATCCGCTGGGCCAGCCCCTCAACGATGGCAGTCTTGCCCACACCTATATATAGGTAGACAGACAGCCACACGTACAACCAACAGATGGATGAACAGTCAGCGTGGGGCGGGCGGCCTGTGCCCATCCATCCATCCATGTGCGTGGCCTTACCAGGGTCGCCGAGCAGGATGGGATTGTTCTTGGTCCGTCGGGAGAGGATCTGCACCGTCCGCCTGATCTCGGTGTCACGACCTGCACGCAATGACACAGACACAGAATGAAGGACATGCAGCCTCTTATTGTCTGTCACGTCACCGCAACACGCACACACACCGGCAGAGGTTCATAAGGACACCTCCTCGCCTACCGATGACGGGGTCGAGGCGGCCGGCCTTTGCAGCTTTGGTGAGGTCCCTGCTGTACTTCTCAAGTGCCTCGTAGCTGGCCTCTGGGTTCTTGGACGTGACCTTCTTGGACCCCCTGATCTGATCCACACCGTCCTTGAGCTTGTTCATCGACACATTCTGACGCTGCAGAGCCGTCCGAGTGAACCTGACGCACACACAAAACAAGGAGATGGACAAAGGGGAGTGGGGGCCCCCCGTGTGTGGGTGTGTGGTGTGTACTTGGTGTCCTCGACGGCGAGGGCGAGCATCATGTGTTCGATGGAGATGTACTCGTCTCTGTATTCCTTCTTGTATCGCCTTGCGGTGGTGAGGACGTTCTGCAGCCCCCTTCCCAGCACCTTCTGCTCGCCGCCGCCAAACCCCATCATCTTGGGCATGCTCTTCAGGTGCTGGTCAAGCTCCTCCTGCAGCGTCTTGACGTTCGCACCGGCCTTGAACAGAATGCGCTGCGCCAGCCCGTCAGGACCCTCATCCAGCAACGCTGACACACACACACACACACCCCGACCCAAACCAGTGCATCATCCACACAGCAGGTACGCCGCCGCCCGTACGGCCCGTGTATGCCGTTGCCTCCCTCCCTCCCTCCCCCACTCACCTTTGAGGAGCATCTCGGCCTCGACGTATCCCGACTGGTATTTGTCGGCCACCTGGTTGAGCTGACTCATGGCGTCCCATGCCTTCTCCGTGTAGTCGTTGGCGTTGATCGTGTACCCATCTTGCATCCGCAGACTCGTCAAGGGCGCCACACGACGCACGCCGCTCGGCAGCAACGGCCGCCGATGCCGAGCAATGGGAGCACGCACGGCTGACGCATCAGACAGGCAGACAGATGCACAGAACGACACACAAGCAAGGCGACAGAGATGCGACGAGACGACAGACAAGCCGTGTCTGTGTTGTGGGCGGCTGTCTGTCTGTGCGTACCTGGCATGGCGAGAAAAGCTGACGATGCATCACTGATGGCTATGGGGAGCCTCAGATCTGCAGGTGACACATCCATCCATCATAGCATTCCATGCACCCACCGACAGCACAGGCAGCAGTCCGGTGTGGGACACCCATGCGTTTCATGCATACCTTCCGCAGCAGTGGGCATGCCAAACAGCACGGGAGCCAGCAGCAGCAACAACGTCAGCTGCATCATGACCCTCTCCCTCCCAGCACAGCGGATCTTCGCAAATAAGGAACCAGATCTTGGGCAGATGGCCTTCTCGGGGGTCGCGATGGCTGGAAGACAAGAGAGAATGAGGCAAGACACACGCGAATTAGCTCGCGTTTCGGGCTAGAGCCGATCTGGAGTTCGGCCGTGCCATAGGCTTGTTGCGGTGCAGAGATCTGGACTGCACTTGTGCGTTCAGTGTGCTTCTTGTCGGTGAACGACGGCCCCGATGAAGCCATGATTCAGCCAGTCAATTTGTCGCACTGACGAGTGTGGAGGTTGGTTCGACGCGCAGGGTAGCTGATTGGTGCTCCCGAGGCTCTCCCGAGTAGTGCCAAATAATGGATAGTGCTCAAGCTCCGGAACCAAAACGACTCAAGAGAGATGCTCAGCCTGGTGAGCAACAATCAAGCAGGAGAAAGGGCCACACTTGTGAGCACTCATCACCTGTGTGTGGGGTGTGTGTGTGTGTGTGCAGCTGGAGCAAGGAAGATATCCGTTGCAGACCTTGTGCCCCTCGCTGCAGGACTGCCTGCAGCGAGAGGAGTGCCTTCCATCGAGCTGACAAAGACGGATTCTCATGAGTTCATCGGCCACAAGTATCGGGACGACATGCTGGAGCATATCAAGAGTTTCTGCGACCTGGAGAGCGGCTCACCGCGCGGCCCTCAGCCCCGGAGCGACAACCAGAATGCCCTCCCTACGCGAATCCCTCCTATGGCCCTCACTCGTCATCCTTCAGGAGGCAAGACGAGGACGCTTAAGGAGATTGGCCTCGCGCTTCGCAAGCAGGACATCTTCTCCCTCTTCATCACATTCAGCGACCTCACTCAGTATGATGCTGCAATCGAGCGGGACCGCACATGGCTGCAGTCGCTGCTTTTGCGCATCGGCTGGGCGGCTGCCAGGGACGACGTGCGGGGGAGTGTAGGGGACGACTTCTCAAGGTGGCTGACCGAAGTGGACGTTACCAAGGACACCATTTGCAAGTGGCTAGGTGATGCCGTCTGCGTCCTTCTTGTTGATGAGCTGAATAAATTGATGGTGGGAGAAGGCCGACAGCAATTTCCTGATGAGGGAGCGATCGCGGCGGAATTTCTTCGGGCAGAGTTCGTCGACAAGCGTGGCCGCTATCTCGTATTCTCAAGCCACTTCACAGAGACGGGCACGAAGCTCACGGTGTTCATGGAGAGTCTAAGCAATCGGGATGTCCTTCGCCCCCTCTTGCCGGTGATCACATCTGTTGATCAAGCGGCCGTCCTCAGCCAGGAGGCCGCCTCGGCTCCCAAGCTATATTATCTTGGATTGACACCCGCCCTAGTTCACAAGGCGTTTGCCGTTGAGAAACGACCCGCTACTTGTGTTGATCAGCTCTTCGACAGGCTCCCGAAACCGCCCTTCACCAGGGCCACGCTGCGAGCCATGATCATGCTTGCGCTGGACGGAGCTGCGCATCGTGTGGCGGGGTTGGGCGGTTGGGCTGCGGCATTGGATGCGTTTGTCGATGACCCACTTCGACTTCCTATCGGGACCCCATCGTACACGTGGTCGCCATGCTTTCTGGCAGCTGCCTGTGAGCAACTTGTTGGTGTTGGCGAGTTCCGCCAGTCTCTTCGTCAAGGCCTGTGGCGGATCGTCGCCAACCTACGGCAGCTGGCTGAAGCAACAGAAGGGTCCGGCGTGCAGTGGGAGGGCGTTTGTGCTGCGGCACTCATCCTACGGATGCTGCAGAGCGACGTTGGAGATTATAAACCCTCAAATCTGCATGCAGAAGCCAGAGCAATCCTGCCTACTGCGGTTCTCAATGGTCGGTGACACACAGATGTGTAAACACAAAAGCTCTGGTCGATAGATACAAATGAGTAGTTCATCAGTCTTTCGTGTTTTGTGCTGTTCGTGTGGGTGTCATGTCAGGATGTGAATTTGGAGGTGCCTTTCGTCCAACCGACTCAGCTGGCTTCATCGGACCGATTGCTCTCCAAACATCGCTCTCCTGCGCCGGATGGTCGAGACCGAGATATCAAGACCATCCTACCGGCAGCAGGGGCTCGACAAGGGCATTATGGCGCTTTTTGTACAGCCGGCTGCCAGCAGTTTTCCTTGGTATGACATGTTCATCTTCGTCTGTTGCGACGGGCGGGTGGAGGAGATCTGGGGGTACCAGTCGAAGACAGGCAGTGGCACTCCTGCAGACGCGCAGACGTTGGTGTCGAAAGAAGTCGATAAGTCAGTGTGGCTGCGCGGTGATGCAAGTCAAGGAGTGCGGAGGGATAATGGGTGGATCGTCGCCTCTCGGACAGCAATTGAGGCGTTGTGCGGCTTCAGCTTGAAACGCTCATGCCCTGCCAATTGGCTGTTGGATCCAAGGGTCTGGGAGCGGGACGAGAAGTAGTCAAGGGTCTGGGCGGGTGGCCAGGTGTTCTTTGGGTGTTCTCGATATGGCCTTCCCTACTGCCCGAACGAGGCGGAGGGGCTGGACCTGGCACACCCGCAGACACAAATAGGGTACGCGCATACAGACACACACAGATGATGGCTGTGGCAACGCATCTGCATCTGTGCGTGTGTCTAGACGTGAGAAGGGTCTTTAGTGGTTCACGTTTCGGCGTTCGTCTCTGTGTCGGCCTCGTCCTTTGGCGCTCCTCAGTCGTCGTCGACGTCGTCCGCCGTCGGGTCTGATGGACAGCGGTGAGGAGTCGGGCGACGACCCCTTCCTCAGACCACACCGACTGACAACATCCACAAACGTCGAATTAGAAGGTATGCAGCCACACACATACCGACCGTATCATTCGTGACATACCGGCGACACAATCACTTTGGCTGTCTGTCTGTCTGTATGTCTGTGTGTGTGTGGGTGTTTCAGTCGACGAGGAGGAGCTTTGCTTTTCCGGTCGGCATCCATCGGCGCAGACGTCGGACCCTGGTCGGCCAGCCACATAATATACGCACACTCAAGTCAAGTGTGCTCCCTGCACTCACTGTGTGTGCGCTCGGTTGGGTTGGGTGTGTGCAGCTCTGCAGAGCTTCCACAATACCATGCACGACGCGACGGACGGGTCAGTCGGTGCACTCACGCCCACACGCCCCTTCTGCTGCACCATGTGTGTGTGTGTGTGTGTGTGTGGATGGGTGCCGCAGTTGGTGGTCGAGGGCACCCGTTCACTGTCGATGGCGATATCTGATCTGCACGAGCGCGTGCGGCGCCAGAGGAGGGCCTGCGGGGCCGTCATCGTCAACCTTCTCCACCACAGACGTGTCGCAGCAGCTGGTGGAGCTGTGTCAAAACAGCACCGGGGAGCAGCCAGACGGGGGTCGCACCCCGAGTGAGCATCAACTCGTACCCTCACTGCCCCCTCCTGAGCTCACCCCAGGAAGCAACAGGTACGTGACACAGGGGGGAGGAGGAGCTCACCCGATACATTGCTGAGGTGTGTTGTTTGCCTTGGTGCAGCCCTCTGCCACTTGAGTCGCCTGTGGCTGCGTTGGTGGACGAGTTGGACCGGTGCGGTGCGAGACTGATCTTTCTGCGAGAATAGCGAGGGCACGCGAGCACCTGCAATACATACACCACAACGTCGACGAGTGAGCGCGCTGCATGTACACATACACCGATGGAAGAGCAGGCAACGACGAGGCTTTGCTTCAGTCTGATTGTAGCTGTTGGTGAGGCTGCCTTGCGAGGGGAGACTGAAGGACCTACAACGAGACAACCAAGAGCTCGTACAGCGCGATGCAGACCGGTGCGCTGACAAACGGATCTACACACATGACCCCCTCCATCCATTTGTCTGCCCGTGTCTGTCTGCCTTGGGTGCGAGTCTATTCAGGCTGACCAAGGCGAAGCTCAACACATTCACGTAGGTGGCCGACGTCATGCAGTTCCAGCATGCGGCGAGCAACGAGAGCAGACGCCTGCAAGCCCTTAAAGACCGATCCCACGAGCATCTCACGAGGCCTCATGATGAGTCCTTCAAGCGTGACGTGGAGCGGCGTATCGCGGCGCGCGACAGGGAGGCAGCTGAGCAGCTGCGACAGTACGAGGAGGCAACAGAGACAAGGGTACGAGAGATCCAATCGGACATGCAGGCGCAGCTGGAGGAGGAGCGGGCCAAGCGTGAGGAGGAGCTCAGGGCCAAGGCCAAGAGCACGTGAGGTGATATTCATGACTTGTCGCCACAATAGTGCATCTGCAGAGGTGGGTCAACATATGAAGTCTGTGTGTGGTGGTCAGGGGCAGGCAGGCATCTTTTGTGTGTGTGTGTGTGTGTGTGTGTAGGCTGTTTCGAGCGAATGAAGAAGGAGTACACCAGCAAGAAGCCGTCGTGTCCAATCTGCCGAAAGCCTGGACATTCGGGCCTCGTTTGGGAACAGGGGTGGCACTCCGATGACTGCCTGACTGACTGACTGCCTGACTGACTGAGAGCAGGCGGCGTATGAGCGGGCGATGTGTGTGCTGTGTTGTTTTCTGTGTCCGAGTGCCGTGCGTTAAACGTTTTATGTGTCTAGTAGGTCTATCTAGCTATAGATGTATCTGTGCCATACACATGTCTGTATGCATACGTATATGTATACATCGATGCACACAGGGGTCGTGTCTCTTTTTTGATCGGAACACATTGTGGCCCGATTAATGGCGTGTGAGAGTCAATTACATAATGGCTGCACTCTTCGTTATGGCGCATGACGAACACTCAGTGATATTCGGGTCTCACTTTCCCTACCGATTCGCCCTCCCTCCCTTCAAATGCACCGACCATGTCGTCACACGGGACAATGGGTACAGGTGAGGCCGCACTTCATTTGGCAATGGCTGTGGAGGGAGCCGTACGTCCATGTCTCTCTCTTCACTTCGATTTGTGCATCAATGATTGACACGTCGATGGTTGTTCGTGCCCTCCGATCCGACATAGGTCAACACAATGTGTATCGTCCCCTCTTCTCTGTCTCGTCCGCACAGGCTGTCCCAATCATACAAGCTTCCTTCCATCTCGTCGGCCGTTCGAATTAAAAAGAAAAGAAGCACTCTCATCAATACCGAACCGTGTCGATGAAAAGTATGAGACGAGAGACATAGAAACGCTCACTCGATCACTCAGAAGGGTGCGTGTGTTGTCTGTCTTCTTTTAGCCCACAGCGTTGTGCTCGAGGAGGAAGGCGCTGACGGTGCCGACGGGGGTTCCATCGGACAGAAGAATTGAGCTGTCAAACACGGTTTTCCGTTTTTCCTGGGATGATGGCATCGTCCTTCTCGATGAAGTCGGAGTCGGAGCTGAAAAGTTCAAGTCCGATCTCCACCTGCATGATTCGTAATAAGGCATTCACACATGCAGAGAAGCTACCTTTTCTGCTCAATGACTCACCCACCTGCCACACAGTGATGTCGGCATTTTGGGGGAGTGATGTGTCCTTCTTGAACAGAAAGCGGCCAAACGCCGAATTGCGGGTGCAGCTTTCGTAGCTTTTGCAGATGGGTTTGTTGTTTTTCTAAGTAAGACATTCCATGATGAATGCGATATCTATGTGTGAGCTCCGCACGGACCTTGAGGTTTGCCGGAGTGATAGAGGTTGTGCCAACCCGCTTGAGAGCGTCACGGAGAGAGACTCTAGGGCCCGAGTTGGCGAACGTGGCGCCCACAAGCCTGCATTGTGCAGCCGCCAGGAACAAAACATTCAGTTCATATGAGTCAGAGGCGTATTCACCTACAATAGACGCTGGTAATCCTGAGCTATACCCAAATTCTCCTCAAATCTGCCCATCATGGGACCCAGCTGCATTAAGTAGCGCAATAACATGCAATCAACCTGGACAGCGTCTCTTACCTGCTTCCTGATTTCGAAGTCCGAATCTTTTTGCTGAGGGTCTTGCATGAGCTCGATGCAGATATCGATGTAGAAATTACCTGGGGGGTAGGTCTGAGAAGTTTAAAGCACACATCCATATGGGAACGCAGTGTGGCACCAATGGCGATATCGCACCCTGTCGAGGTGGTCCCGTGTCGGAGACACAGTGCATATGATGTCGATGTCCTGGCCTTGTGCCCCCGTGAAGAAGAGGTAATTCAAAGAGGCCGTGTTCGTCTCGACTGCAGTTGGCGGCAGGAGCAGCTGACTCAGGTCATACTTGGTGATTGTGGCGTCAAACTTGCGAACAGCATACGGCTCTTCTAGGCAGGCCTTGGCGATGATGTGGATAGGCAGCACAGCAGGCAGCAGAAGGGAAGCGGCTTTGAAGGGGTCGAACTTGAAATCTGAGAGGGCAGTGCCAACAGCGTCTTCCAAGACCTGCAGACATGCAGCACATGTGAATGACAAGATGCACAACACATATCGTGCGCGGCAGCTTTCGCCCCACTTTGATCATGCAGAGGAGCTGGTGAGCGACACTTTTACGCTTAAACGGCTTCGATGGCAATGCCTCCTTAGACTGAGGCTCCTTCTGTTGGACACACGACTTGACAGACTGCCGTAAGTCCGGCACAGCCTCGATAATCGTGGTGATACTCTCTTTCTGCAGTTTGTCGGCAAGGTGCTTTCCCCGGCGACTGCTTGCGATCGGTGCATTTTAGTCACTGCTGAGCATCAGGTTACGCTGCAGTGTGTCGTAAGCGTTGGTTTTCTTGCATTAATAGGAAAAGGGAGATAAGGGTCAATCCGTGTTGCTTTTCGAAGTTGATTTCCATACCGAGGACAGGGCTGTGAACGCCTTTTCGTAGTCGAACTCCCTCTCTACCTGCTCGACGTTATAGGAGAATCCGTAGCTCTGCACAGCGACATACAGAGGACACCTTTCGAAGCGCTTTCACATCCCCGTTCAGCCGAGACGTACCATGTACCAGAAAGCAAAGTTCTTGAGATACACACACAGAGGGAGACGCGCAATGAGCGCGAATGAAGTGCTCTTCTTTCTCTCTGTCTCTCTGTGTCTCTCTCTGTCTCTCTCTGTCTCTCTCTTTGTGTGTGTGTGTGCGTGCGTGTCTGTGTGTGTGTATGTGTATCAGCTGATCAACGCACTCTCAATAGATACAGCTCTTTGATGCTGCTGCCATCCTCCAAGGACGCTTCCGGGCAGCCCCTGCAAAACAGAGAGACGGGATTGGCATGAGAGACATGGGTATCGGGCGCGCAGCCAATCTCACCAATGCGGTCCGAATCTATCAACCCAGGCAAGGTTCACGACCAGCAACGCCGACCCGGAGATGTCCGACTGCTGCCGAGCGATGTTAGCCACGTGACAAGGCTTGTCTGTGTGAGTTTCGACGCTGTGTATGTTGTCCGGCATGATAAAGATCGATCCCTGGATTCCTGGGCCGTACTCCATGCTGTAGGTATAGATGTCGTTGATGTGCGTGATGAAGATCTGCAATGCCAGTTCTCCTGAAAGCCGAAGCCTACAGGCATAAGACACACACATACACATTAGTTAAGTGACTGAGACAGACAACAACATGAAACTCTGTCCTAGCTGCTTCCCGCGCTTTGTCTTACATCATCGGAGACCAGCTGTCAAAGTTTTTCCGCATGTATGCTGTAACAGAGAGGGAGAGCTTCAGGTGAGTGGCTCCTTTGATAGGTCCCGTCATTTTGCTCTGCCACGGATCAGGTATCTGGACGTGGCAAGTCATGTTCAGCGCTCTGTCAGGGTTATGAGGGCTGTACAGCATCGATCGGTAGGCGTCACCGTCGTCGACCACTGATCTGCACAAGGGGTCATCATCCAGTGGCAAGTTCTCGTCGGCAACATGCACAGGCTGGGTTCCAGCCTCGCCTCGGCCAACAACTTGAAGAACTGTGTCAGCCCGAGCTGCGGCGAACGCTGTCGAGAGCAACAGCAGGAGAGCAGCCGCCATTGCGTGACGCGCGGACAGGCGGGGGCGCGAAGACAGGGGGCTGCATGCATCTTGAGACGTGGCCCACGTCTCGTGTAAATAAACGGCCAAGCTAATGGGAGGGGTTGACGGAATCACAAAGTCCGCCTCCCATCAGCTGCCTTCAGTGAGCGTAGGGGGACAAGTGTGTAGCATTCATGCACGTCCATGGTCTCGCCTTCAGCTCGCATCTGCGAGCTTCTTTGCAGATCTCTTCTGAAGAAGCGGCGAATTCAGTCAAGCACCTCTCGGTCGCAGTTCTGCTGACCACTACTCAGCAAGAATGTGGATCACCGAATCCCCCGCCGTCCTTCAGCTGTTACTGTGGCTGTCATCCTACTTGGCCACCACATCTACCCTTGCGGAGCGCCTCACCATCCCGCACACAACCGTCCTACACAGCCGTGGCGCCAACCCATGGCCATCCCACCCCGTCGGTGAGGTCGCAGCCGACGACGACAGGCCGACGCACAAGATGCCTCCCACCGTCCCCCGCGACCCACACAGGTTCTGGCGCCGGCTGCGGTCGTTTGGCAACATCGTGAGGTCGACCGAGGGCTCGTTGGACGTGCCGTCCCGTCGCGTGGCTCAGGTGCGTCAGGTGGTTGAGCCAGTGCCCGAGACCTTCTACTACATCATGGACATCCTCAACGCCAAGGTGTATGACGTCGTCAGCGAGACCCCGCTGGACCGGGCCCCCAACCTCTCCAAGAAGATCGGCAACACGGTGCTCCTCAAGCGGGAGGACCTGCAGCCCGTCTTCTCTTTCAAGATCCGAGGGGCCTACAACAAGATCCGCTCCCTCACCGCCGAGCAGCGCGCCAAGGGCATCATAGCCTGCTCGGCGGGCAATCACGCGCAGGGGGTGGCGTACAGCGCCAAGAAGCTGGGGATATCGGCCAAGATCTACATGCCCGAGATCACGCCGTCCATCAAGGTCAACGCCGTGCGGTCCTACGGGAGCGGGGTGGAGGTGATACTGGTGGGGAGCAACTTCGACGAGGCCTTTGCCGCCTGCATGGAGTGCGCCAGGCGGGAGGGCAGGACGCTCATCCACCCATTTGATGACCCACTGGTCATTGCTGGCCAAGGTGAGAAAGAGAATCGGACAGCACCCCACCCATGTGTGTGTGTGTGTGTGTGTGTGTCAGGCACGATAGGGATGGAGGTGCTGAAGCAGACGACATCTCAGCCGATCGACGGCATCTTCATCTGCTGCGGCGGCGGCGGGCTGCTCAGCGGCGTGGGCGCATTCATCAAGGCCGTCGCGCCACACATCAAAATCTACGGCGTCGAAACCGCTGATGCTGCTGGTAGGCAACTCTATCACCGTCATTCGGTCCCTCAGTCAGTCAGTCAAATCAAGAGAGCGAAGTGGATGGATGGGCGGGCCTGTGTGGGTATGTGTTGTGTGTGCGTGTGTAGCGATGACAGAGAGCCTGAAGGCGTGTCGTTTGGTGGAGTTGGACACGGTGGGCACCTTTGCCGACGGGGCGGCCGTCCGCAGAGTGGGCGCCAACACTTTCAAAGTCTGCCAGGTGCGTCCACACGTCCACACGTCCACACATCCACACACACAGACACACAGACACACGCACACACGTGCACATCGACGACATGTGTGATTGGGGTGAATGGGATGAATGTGACTACAGGAGGTAGTGGACGAGATGATCACTGTGAGCACGGACGAGGTGTGTGCGGCCATCAAGGACGCTTTCACAGACATCAGGGTCGTCCTGGAGCCTGCGGGGGCACTCGCTATCGGTACACACACAACACAGAGACAGAGAGAGGGGGATGGATGGCTGTGTGTCGGTTCAGCTGGCATGAAGAGCTTCGTTGAGCGGACGGGCGCCAAAGGGAAGACATTCGTGGCCATCGCATCCGGTGCACACACAGACAGACAGAGACACACACAGAGAGATCCTTCCATCCATTCATCTGAGCACTCACTCTGTCATCCATCGTGATCGCTATATGGTCAGGTGCCAACATGGACTTCGACCGTCTCCGGTTCGTGTCTGAGCGGGCAGACACGTCCGAGTCGCTCGTCTCGGTCATCGTACCGGAAAGGCCCGGCACCTTCAGACAGCTGTACGACATCATCTACCCACGGTACGGTACGCTGCGTACCCTCCCCCCCCACACACACAACCCAATTCCCCTGCATGTGCATCGTCGTCGTCTCTCTCTCTCTCTTTCTCTGTGTGTGTGTGTGTTGCAGTGAGGTGACAGAGTTCAGTTATCGGCTGTGCAGCCAGCCCGAGGACGTCAAGGGGTCGGGCAATGGCAACGGCAACGGGGCGGCAGCCAGGGCCGCCAACCAGGCGCACATAATGATGAGCTACAGACCCAAAAACAGAAAAGACGAACAGGATGTAAGCACAGCACACACATAGTTTAAACCCCCCCGCGCAGCACACACACGCCTTAATGGATGGATGGATGGATGCGGTGCATGGCCATGTGTGCAGGTGGAGAACAAGCTGAGGCGGGCGGGGTTCATCACCATGAACCTCAACTCAAATGAACTTGCAAAGGTACACACACACGTGTCTGGACCATCCCTCCCCTCCCTGCGGTCATCCATCCATCCATCCCTCCATCCGTCCATTCCCGTGTGCTTCTACCCTACCCAGACCCACGGTCGTCACCTGGTGGGTGGCCGCGCCCCGCTGGCCAAGGACGAGGTGCTTTATCGAGTGGAGTTCCCCGAAAAGCCCGGCGCTCTGCGGAAATTCCTCTACTCATTGAGCTCCAAGCGGAACATTTCCCTGTTCCATTACAGGTCACACACACACTCAACCAACACAGAGGGCGAGGGGAGATGCCGCCAGGGGGCAGTGCAGTGTGGGTGGCTGTGAATGAATATGGTTGTGATGTGATGTGATGTGATGCTGTGTGTGCAGGAACCATGGTTCTGACATCGGGCGTGTGTTGGTGGGCATCCAGGTGCCCCCAGAGCACAGGGGAGAGTTCCAGGTCAGTCAGCCACACAGCCACACAGTCACGTCATGCACTCACACAGACAGACAGACAAGCATACGGCCCTCCCTCCTCTCTCTCCCTGCTTTGTTTGTTTGGTTCATTCAGGACACGTTGCACACATTGCAGGCGGCGGGGTACCAGTGGATAGAGGAGACCTACAACCCCGTCTACAGGCAATTCCTCAGCAACAGAACCGCACCACCCAAGGGACGGCGCAAGACACCAACTTCTGCAAGGACAACCGACGCATGAAGCAAGAAAGAAAGAAAGAAACAAGTTACCGGTCGGAGAGAGAGATGACGAGGGGGGGGAGGGGGGTGCGTGTGTCTGAATGCCTGGGTGGGTGTCTTCCTGCTTGCGTGGGTGTCTACTACTATTTATGGGCTGGCTGGCCGGCTGGCCGTCCGGCCGTGTACATAAGAAGGAGTGAGCACAAAGCGAGAGAACGAATATTAATGTGCGTGTAGAGGGAGGGGAGGCAGTTAGTCAGTGGATAAGACAGACAACCTAACCTAACCTGTGTGTGTGTGTGTGTGTGCGGTTGGTGATAGCTATCAGCTAGCCCATAATGAATTCCTTCCTTACCGTTCCTTCCCTCCCTCCCTCCCTCCCTCCCTATACACCAACTTGCTGGAGGGAGTGCCTGAGTAAGTATGTGTTGATTGATTGGCCTGTTGATTGATTGATTGTACCATAACCGACGGACAGACAGACAGAGGGCCTCTCTCTGTGTGGTCGGTTTTGTGTTGACACACGGACGCACAGACAGGGATGGATGGATGGATGGAGGGATGAGGGGATGGGCGCACTTCAGTTTTGACCCCACCTCTGTCTGCCAGTTCCCATGAGTGAGTTGATCTGTGTTGTGTCGTGTTGTGTTGTGTTGTGTTCGTGCGTGTGTGTGAGTTGGAAGGAGAGAGGGGAGGGGGCTGTGTAGGATGGATGGACGGTAAGCAGTGAGTGCTCACAGCTGAGCTGCACCAATCAACAACATGTACTGCTTACTACTTCGACAGCAGCTGCTGACCCTCACTCATTGCCACTGTGTTCTTGCTTCCTCATGCCATGCGACAGATAGTCATTCACGCGATTGCACTCGTGGGTGCGGCACACTCTCATACAGACACTCTTTCTTTCAGTTATTCAGTCATTCACTGCGCTGAATGAATGACTGACTGACTGAAAAAGTGTGTGGCGTGCGTGTGTGTGTGTGACACTCGTTTGTCTGTCACCCATGCTATGCAATATGTATGAAATGCGATGAATCCACCGATCGATCCGATCAGACACCCACCCACCCACCCCACCGAACGAACAAACAAATAAGACGCGGGGCGTCCTCCCCCCACCCCACCCCTGGTTGTTTCTGTCAAGTCCGTCCATTCCTCTACTTGCGCGATGCGGCTGGTGCGCTCCGTGCACCCTCTCTCTCCTCTCGCACAGTGTGTGTGTCCCTCCTCAATCTTGGGAAAAATAGAATATAGTTGCTACTGCGGACAGACAGAAAAAAGGCCCCCTCCCTGCAAAGCGGTTAGTTCTCCCCGACGCACGACACACACACACACACACACACACGAGCGACAGAAGCGAAATCCCCCACCCACCATCAGTCACAAAACCCCAAGGACACCACGTGCCACGCCACGCCACGCCACGCAGCGCAGCACAGCGCAACACACGACACACAATTGTTGCCAGCTGACGCATACACGCACACACACACACACACAAACCGCCCTCGCGGCCCCTGTTCTGCTCTCTTCACTCACTCACAGAAAAAAGGCAGCAGAGGAAAAAAGCGCTCTCTCCTCTCTCTCTCTCTCTCCTTCTGCACCCACCAAAACACACACGCACGCAGACACGCAAATTCCCTCCCCCTCCCTACCTCTCCCTCCCTCCCTCCCTCTCTGTCTGTCTGTCTGTCTGCCTGCCTATGCCGCAGCCGACGCCACGGCGGCCGTCGCCTCCCTGTCCACGCCTTCTTCGCCACACCTGACGTCGCCATACATACTCTCCGTCCTCGGCCGGGGATAGCCCAGCTGTTCCTTGAGACACCTCTCCACCTCCCCCAGCACAGCGGGGTCGTCAATGGTGGGCGGCACGGGACGCTCGCGCCCGTCGGCTATGGCTGCGATGGTGCGGCGGAGGATCTTGCCCGAGCGGGTCTTGGGCAGCCGCTCGACGATGCCGCAGTTTTTGAAGAAGGCCACGGGGCCGATCGACTCGCGCACCGCCGCGATGATCTCGCGGATGACCTGGTCGGGGTGCGAGGCTCGCTCGGGCTTGAGTACTACGAGGCCGAGAGGGATCTGCCCCCTGAGGTCGTCGTGTATGCCGACGACGGCGCCCTCCGACACGGCGGGGTGCTGGACGAGGACGTCTTCGATGGCCGCGGTGCTGAGTCGGTGTGCGGCGACGTTGATGACGTCGTCGGTCCGCGACATGATGTGGACGTACCGCTCCTCGTCGATGAAGCCGCTGTCGCCCGTCTCGTAGTAACCCTCGTAGCGGCTCATGTAAGAGCTCAAGAACCTATAAGGGGAAAGAAGGTCCATTCTCTATATGTGTGTGTGTGTGTGTGTGTGTTTGTGTGTTTGGTGGTGGGCTGACCGTTTCTCGTTATTCCATAGCGTAAGCAGGGTGCCTGGTGGGAGGGGCAGCTTGCAGACGACGCGGCCCATCTCGCCCGGCTCGGCCTCGATGCCGTCGTCACGGAGAATGCGCAAGTCATACCCAACGCCGGGGTGACCACACGAGCCCGCCCTGCACAATACACACACGCAGTGATGTGATGGGAGGGAGAGAGAGAGAGAGAGTGGTCGATGGGATGCATGGATGCGATGCGTGTGGTTCGTTCAAGTGCCGGGCCGTGTGTCGTGTCACTCACCTGGGAGGAATGTCATTGTTGTCGAGTCCCCTGCAGATGATGGCCATAGGGAAGCCGGTCTCAGTCTGCCACCAGTTGTCGACCACCGCACACCCCAGGAGGTCGCGCGCCCAATCGAACGTCGGCGGGTCCAGCCGCTCGCCAGCCACAAACAACGTCTGTATGGCATTCAATGACGGACGCTCGAGTGAATGCTCTTGGCAGACAGACAGCCATGCAGCCAGGCAGCCAAAGGGACCTTAGTACTGACCGACCTGAAATTGGTCCATCTTGGGTTTGTAGTGTTTGATGTACTCGCCATTGGGGTCGTCCCGCCGCATCACGCGCAACGCCGTCGGCGCGATGAACAGCGCCTTGGTGTTGGTCTCGCTTACCACACGCCATATCGACCCTGACCGATAGACCAACCAAACACAGACACAACTCCATCAGCGCGTGTGCGCGTGTGCGTGTGAGGTGCCGACTGACTGACTGACCAGGGTTAGGCGTCCCGACAGGTTTGCCCTCGTACATGACGGTGGCGCATCCGGCGAGGAGCGGCGAGTAGACCATGCACGTGTGCCCCACAATCCAGCCGACGTCGGAGGCGCCGAAGAAGGTCTCCCCGGGGTTGATGCCGTAGCACGTCGGCATGGCGAACTTGCCGCTCACGATCTGACCCGCATGGTCTCGCACGACGCCCTTTGGCTGACCTGCCATGCCGAGACACATACAGACACACACACACACACACACAGAGGGGTAACTAACTAGGTGCTTGTGTGCAGAGGGGGATGTGTGGCTTGGTGTGAGTGATGGGGGGGGTAAACGATGCGCACCTACCTGTCGTGCCAGAGGTGTAGAGGATGTAGAGTGGGTGGTTGGAGGTGACGGGGACGGCGTCGACCGGCTGGGCGGAGAAGAGGTCCTCCCACAGCATGTCCAGGGGGGTCAGAGACGCCTCACACTACACACACACACACACGCACACACAAGGCAATCAGTCGACACATACACACATCCCACACACACCCACGGGTCTGCGTCTGCCTGCCTGCCCGTGTGTGTGTGGTGTGTGGACTTCACAACGGATGCCGACCTGCGGCCTCTGCAGGATGACGCATTTGTGGGGCTCGTGTGTGGCCATGGCCAGCCCGCCGTCCAGCAGCGGCTTGTACGCCACCACCTTCTGAGCCTCAATCCCACACGACGCAGCCAAAATCACCTAAACACACCCACTCACACACACACACATAGACACATACACACAGCACACACACACACAGCACACACACACACACACACACACACACAGGGAGGGAGGGAGGGAGGGAGAAGCCTACACACCTTTGGCTGCGAGTCGTTTATGCGTGTGGCGAGTTCCTTAGCGCCAAATCCCCCAAAGACGACTGAGTGGATGGCCCCGATGCGGGCACAGGCGAGCATGGCGACCATGGTCTCCACCATCACAGGCATGTATATCAACACCCGGTCGCCCGCCGCCACGCCAAGCTTCCGCAGCCCCCCGGCCACCGTCGCCACCTGCATGCCTCGGCGTGGCATGTCGGCACATTCGAGACGAGAGAGAGAGATGTGGTGTGGTGTGGTGGTTTGTTTCGTGCCTTGCCTTGCCTTGCCTGTTCGAGTAGCTGTGCGTATGTGTAATGCTTCTTGGTGTTGGTGACCGGGGAGTCGTAGTAGACGGCAACACGGCTGCCGTGGCCGGCCTCCACGTGGACGTCCAGGGCGTCGTAGCAGCAGTTGACCTGACAGATAGATAGACAGACATGATAGGATAGACAGACACACCATACATACCATCGATGGATGAGCAATGAGAAAACAGAGAAATAAGAACCACCCATGGCATGCCATGCCATGCCATGGGTGTACGGTGCGCATGGCATGTGATGTGATGTGCCTGTCCTGTGCGTGTCTGTGTGGGGTGTGGGGTGTGTGTGTGTGGGGTTTGTGTGGTGCTTTGCCTTGCCTTGCCTTCTTGTTCACTCACTGACTCACTGACTGACTGACTGACCATTCCGCCGGTATACCACTTGTAGATATGTTCGCTGCCCCGCGAGTCGTCCAGCACCTTGTCATACCTCTTGAACCTGCACACACACACACACACACACACAGACACACCAGAAACCACATCAACAGCACAGCACAGCACAGCCGTTCGTTCTGATGATCCATAAGAGAGAGACCAGACCCATGCATTCGCTCGTCCATTCACTCACTCAACTCACTCACCAGTGCGCCCTCTCTCCCTGCTCCCTCCTGCACACATAGATCACATAGCAAACAAGCAGACACACCACACGGACTCCTGCTTCGCTTCGCTTCGCTTTGCTTCGCTTCGCTTCGCTTCGCTTCGCTTTGCGTCACTCTCTCTCACCAGAAGTCAACTTGGTGTCTGACGGACTTGTCGTGCATGGCGTGCTGCGTGTAGATGAATGACCGGGGGGACTCAGCCATGACCCTCGCTGAAGAAGAGGCCGCCCGTTGCTGCTGCTGCTGATGATGCTGCTGCTGCTGCTGACGAGCCATCACATGCACATGACGAACCAGACGAGCAGAGAGGGGCGCGAGCGTCCTCGTGGCGGCGGTGAGAGTGTTGTGTGGCGGCCGCAGAGGCAGCTTATTCGCCAGATACCCCATACCGTGACTCAGAGCAGCAAACCAGTCAACTCCGTCAATATCTCGTGTGCTCTGTTGCTGATTTGGTGCTGTTGGTGCGGGCGATGACGTAACTTGGCGCAACCCTGCGGGATCTCACTATCTCAAAACACCTCTCCGCTGCACGCTTAGCTTCCGACCGCCCGTTTGGAATGCATTCCCTCTTGTCCGATGCAATACCATTCACACACACAAGGGGCCGGGCCCTGTTCGCTGCCACCACTGCAGTCAGTCAGTCTGTCGGTCAGTCTGTCCATCCACCCATCCATCCATCCATCCGTCTATCAGCGATTCGACACCTCCCTCCCTCCCTCGTGCGTGCGTGCAGGCAGGCAGGCGGGCAGTCCTCTATGTAGCTAGCTAATAACACACGTACTGTATGGACTGTTCTGTTCTGCACTGTACCCAACACACACGTGTGGTGTGCATCTGTCGGTCTGTCTGTCTGTCTGTCTGCAGCGCAGCACTGCTGGTGGTCACTCGGCCCTCCCCGTGCCCCTCCGGTCACCGCAACGGTCGCGCACCGCAGGGGCGCCGCGGTCGTCATCGTCATCGTCATCATCGTCTCCTGCGTCTGGAGCGTCCTCCAGTGGGCGGAGTGGCGGTGGCGGTGACCCGCCGCGGCCCGGGGATGAGCGGCTGGCGAAGGCCGGGGGCACCCCGAGCTCCTTGAAGGCCTGCACGCCGAACTTGGCCACCTGCTGCTCGCTGGATGATCGACAGAGAGGGATGGAGAGGGACGGAGAGTGTGTGTGCTTTGGTTTGGCTTGGTTTGGCTTGGTTTGGCTTGGTTTGTTGGTGTGACTGACTGAGTGCATTACCTGGTGTTTTCGATGGCGAAGATGCCGTGGTTGGGGACCATGCAGGTGTCACCTGGATGTGACATGATGGGATGGAACAGACAGACAGACAGACAGAGAAGAAGGATGTGCAGTTCACAGCAGATCACACACGCCGGCTGTCCGCCCCGCCCCGCCCCGCCCACCTTTCTTGAGCAGGTCGGTATCCCACCCGCCGCCGGCCTTCCGCATGCGAAACACCACCTTGTCCTCCTCGCCCCTGTTGACGTGAAAGGTCTGCACACACACACACACACACACACACGCTCGTGTTCAGCTGGTTGGCTGGCTGGCTGTGCGTCCGTGTGTGTGTGTAGGTGACTGACCATGGTGCCCATGTCGCTCCGCTGCGGCGGCTTCTTGGCCCCGGGCTGGAGCTGCACGAAACACAGATGGGAACAAGAGAGAGAGGAACACACAGATAGACAGACGAGTGAGTGGATGGATGGATGGAGTGTGTTGGCTGGCTCTCTCTTTCTGTTGCTCGGCCGTGAGTGGGCATGGCATCTTCATCTTTGTGGGTCTGGTCTGCTTCATACCTACCGTGACAATGGATGCGAAGAAATGGGGGTTGTCGTCAAACACCCGCACTGCACACACGACACACGGGAGGGAGGCATAGCATACACAAATGTCACATGCTTATTGCTCGTGTCTGTCTGTCTGTCTGTCTGTCTGTCTGTGCCCGTGTCGGTCTGTCTTCAATTCCATAGCTCATTCATTCATTCATTCACCGACCGACAGACATGCCCTCGACGTCTGTGTTCCATCGGCCGTCCTGCCGCCCCTCCACGTTCCGCCTCTCCAACTCACGCATCAGACCGCCACCGCTCACTATCCCACCGCCTGCAATACAATACAATACAATACAATACAATGCAATACACCAACGAATACTGCCCCCCTGCCAGAGACGCCACGCTTCTCCCTGCCTGCCTGCCTTGCCTGCCTGACCTTCAGGGTTCATCCGGACGAATCTGGCTGGCGCCGCGCCCTTATTCATGAAGTCGCTCGTAACGCTCCACCGGCCGCCACGGTCCACCCCGCCCCCCGCACCCACACCCACCCCCGCCGCTCCCCCTCTCCCTTCCTCCTCCTCCTCATCCACCATGGGGCCGGGCGGCTGCGGCTCGTTGGAGGGCACCAGGTCCATCGCACCGCCTGCCCGCCCACCCACACCCGCACCCGCTCCCGCCTTCTCACTGCTGTCGCGCTCGTCCTCGACGCGCCGCTGCTGCCCGCCACGCCTGTCGGGCGGGTGTTGGTCCGCCTTGTCTTTGGCGGGTCGGCCGCGTGCTTTGGCCTTGGGCTTGGGTTTTGGCTTTGGTTTGGCTTTGGGCAGGCCCATTCGCGGGGCGGGCCGGGGCGGGGGGGACTCGTACTCGTCTCCCTCCTCCTCTTCTTGATCTTCCTCCTCTTGGTCTTGGTCTTCCTCCTCGGCCTCGTCTTGGTCCTCGTCCATATCTGGTTCGTCGCGCGGCTCCTCCTTGGTGCGACGCGGGGGCGGCTCGCGGTAGTCCTCATCGTCGTCAAGCCCACTCGACGCTGAACACACATAGACAGACGGAGGCACACATGCCGACATCGTATCCACCACACACAGCACAGCACAGCAAGTGTGTCGGGCGGTCTGTCTGTCTGCCTCACCCGACGAAGAGCGTCCTCTGTTGGCCGGTTTCTTCTTCGCCTTGGCCTTGGCCTTGCCCTTAGCCGCACCACCAGCCCCCTTCCCCTTGCTCTTAGCCGTACCACCACCACCACCGGAGACCGCCACGCCGCTCTTGCCCCTCCCCCGCCCTCCCCTCCCCCTCCCCCTCCCAGCGCCCCGCCTCGCCAAACTCGTCGTAGCCATGCGCTCGGGCGACCGGGGAGAGCTGCCACGGCCACGGGCGCCGGCACCCCGACCCCTCGCCACACTGCGGCCACGACCACCGCCCCTGCCCTTGGCCTTGGCCTTGGCACGTGACTTGGCCACCCCGCCCTCATCCTCCTCGTCACGGTCCTCGGCAGATGCGCTCTCGTCCCTGGCGGCTCGGCCACGGGAGCGGCGGGAGCGGCGCGACTCCTCGCTCTCGTTTTCGTGGATGGGAGTGAGTGCGGGGTCGGCCTTTTGCTTCTGTTTCTTCTTGGGCTGGGCCTTGGGTGCGCCGACGCGGGCACGGCGGTCTGCATCGGGCTGGTCGTCGCTGTCGGTGCTGTGGCCGCGCTTCCGCTGGGCGGGGGGCACTGCGCCGCGGGCAGCGGTGGGTGCAGTGGTGTTCTTGATGCGACTGCCCTTCATCGAACTAGAACTAACACAGAGAGGGAGGGGATTGCTGCTGGTGCCTAGGGGGTGGGGAGCGAGGTCCGGACGGAAGCAGAGAGACCTGCGGACAAAGATATGCAGCACACACAGGGATGACGTCCGTCCGTCCGTCAGCTGGCATCCCCCCCGTGAGGTGAATGCTTTCTGACCGACCTGGTTTCTGGGTAAGCAAAGGAAACGCCGAGACGGTCAAGGCGTCTTCAGCACAACCACGCTAGAGCACGTCCCTCAGGAGGGGATGCACTCCACCAGGCACGGATACGATAGATAAGCCTTCAGCTCGACAACACACGGCTTCATCTCACGCCGCACTCATGCCTACGCCACCATTCCTCCCGTGCATCCGACGGCGAGCAGTTTCACGGAATTTCCAAGCTCGCATTTTTCGATGCTGCTCCTGAAACCGGTGCTGCTGTCGGAACGGGAAGATGAAGAAAGCAAGAAATACCGCCAACTTCCATTGACAAGTCCCTGAAGGCCGCCCAAAGTTCCTTTTTTTTTCGTCGAATCGATGGTGACGCTTGATGGTTCAAGAGCGCGTGGCAGCTCTCGGCGGTCCGGGAGGCGGCAGTACGAGCGGCTCCTGCCGCCGCTGGTGCTGGTGCTGGGGCTGCTGCCGTGCGTCGTCGGGGTGCGGACAGAAAGAAAACCACAATGACTGCCGCAATGGCAAGGACTGACTGACCTGATGATTTGTTCTTTCTGTGCTGTTGTTGTATGTGTGCAGGATTATGGCAACTTGTGTCGGTGCATCTGTGACGGCCTCAGTGCCAATCTGACGGTGACACACACAAGACAGACAGACAGACGGACGGACAAAGGGGAACGCACACACTGTCAGGCAGGCAGGCAGTGTGAGTGCGTGTGATTGCGGGACGTGTGTGGTGTGTGGGTGGGTTGGTGGGTTGGTGTGTTGTTTGTGTTAGGTGGTGATACCATCGATGACGGGTTGCAAGGAGTGCAACAGCGCCATGTGCATATCCCACTTCCCCGAAGACTGTGTCCAGGGCACTACCATCAACGCACACTGCATCAGTAAGTCAGTCAGGCAGTCAGTAAGGGAGGGAGGGAAAGATCTCGATGACCAGCTTTAGCTTAGCTTACTCAGCCGGCCATCCATCCATCCATCCATGTGTGGTGTGTATGGTGTGTTTGGTTGGTGTGGTGTGTGCTTTGTCGTCTTGTCCGTCCGTCCGCAGATCGTCATGCGTGGATGCCGCGGCTGGTCATAACCTCCATGTTCGCCACCATTGGCCTCCTCATCATTCTCGGTCAGTCAGTCAGCCAGTCACCTTTAAAGCCATTAGTTAGATCCATCACCACAACCAACCAACCAACCAGCCAACTCCCTCCCTCCCTCCCTCCCTCCTCAATCCATTCATCCATCCGTTCGGCTGTCCCTTTATCTATCTCATATATCAGGTCTGGCCAAGCACTACATCCCCTCCCTCGGCCCCGCTCTTAGGATAGAGCACAACCGTGGTCGGACGGAGAGCCAGGAGTTCACCGTGGGCACCCCTGCCGCATCCACTGCCGCGACTGCAGCAACGGGGAGGACAGCGGGGCCGCCGCCGGACGTGGGGGTGGGGGGGAGGAAGGTCTCACCCACATGACAGACAGACATGAGTGAGTGAGATCCGCTTGTGGGGTGGTGGGCCGGCTTCCTCTCTCTGGCGAGCTGCAGGAGGGAACAAGGGCGCGAGGGAGAGTTTTCTCGTCTGGTGGTGGCGGTGTGTGGCGGGGTGTCCTGCCTGCCTCAGCCAGCCAGCCGTTCTTACACACTGGTGTCGACAGCGTGGCTGCTTTGCCTTACTGGTTGACACGGTTGTACAGACAGTCTTACTGACTTGTCCATTCTGCGTGCGTGAGTTCGTGTGTGACATGGTATTCATTACACTGACATGACGTGACATAAACACTTTATCGCTCTAGGGGGCGAGTGTGCGGGTTTCATTTCTTGTACCCCTCAAGAAGACCTCCATCGCCAGGATCGAGGCACCTAAACAAAAACTGAGCTCTTCAATTGAATGCACCTGCACACACACACACACACACGCAGAGGGGTGCCGTGCCGTGCCGTGGACATTCAGATGCGAAAACATCCGCACAGCATGTGTGTATAGATGGATTGACTGATTCAGACACAATGGATGGCTTCAATGCATTGGTCCCTGCCTGCAGCACAGACAGCATGCAGACAGACCAGACATGTTTTCAACAAACAACACGGAGTCCGTCCCTCCGTCCATCTATGCGATGCGAGGGAAGCATCCACGTCTCCCGCACCCCGTCCAATCCACCAAACATAACATGCATAACCGGCCACACGAAGGAAGACATGCTCACTACATGGACATCGGTCTGTCTGTCTGTCTGTCTGTCAGTGAAAGGTCGCCACATAGATGGGCAGATGCGACCCCGCCACGTGCCGCCCGGTGGTGTCAAAGCCGAGCAGCCCGTCGTGCTCGCAGTTCTTCATCAGCCGCTCGCAGTCCACCCGCACGCCCCTCTCTCTAGTCGACACCTGCGTCGCCACCCAACACGCTATCTCACGCCGCCTCTCGACCGCTGCACCCATGTGGCTCACAAGCACCGACGTCGACCGAGACACACGCGGCGCCAGCAGCGGGGCCGCCTTGGCCCTGTGGCACTGGTCGCCCTCGACCACTTCCACAAAGGCTTGTGGGTTGGGGGCGCCGGGGAGCACCTCTAGAAGCAGCGTGCTGCTTAAAGGGTTGCTCTCGTCCCAGAGCAGCGTGTAGAAGGCCCGTATGACGCGCTTGACCACCTCGGTGCTCTGGATGTGGTACCATTCCGGGTGCGAGAGCACCAGCCGCAGATGGGAGTCCCCCATGTTCTCGAACTCGCCGAGCGCCTTGAGCACGGCCGCCCTCTCGGCCTCCGGCGGCCGCCGGATGTCCATCGCTTCCATCTGCAGCTCATTTCTAAGGTGCTGCACGGCCATGTCGTCCGTGCAGTGGTAGAAGCGCCGCCCTAAATGCTCTCTGTGGATCTTGGCGACGAAGTCCTCCAGCAGCTGGTTGATGCGGCCCTGCCCGAGTGTGTGCTCCGGGACCAATTCTAACAAGGCGTTGAGAACCAGGACGAACTCGCCAAGGTCTCCCCCTGGTGTGCAGAGGGAGGGGGTCGCCACACGGTCGTCGAGGCACGAAAAGTGCTGGCTCGCCACGGGCATGAGCGAGAGGCCGGTGAAGCGGCCATATGACTCCGACAACTCCACCATGCTCATTCCCTGGCCGGGGCGGCTCTGGTGTAGCTTGACCTTCGATGGGCTGCAGTGGGTGGTCTGACTGCCGGCGTTGCCGTCGTGGTCGTGCTGTTTGTCGCTGCAGCTGCACTTGGCGTTGTAATGCCCGCCATTCAGCTCCACAGATCCGGCGAGGTAGTCGGTTTGGTCGGCCAGTTTGACGTGGGAATGCACCTGGATCAGGGAGCTGGCGCCCGCCATCTCACCTGACGGGGTGGTCACCTGCACCGCATGCACACATCATCCATCCATCCACCGATCCACCCACAGCAAAGAGCAGCAGATCATCCATTCATCTCTTCATACCTGGCCTCCCTCTTTCTCACCGTTAATTTGCGCTTCTCGTGGGCGCATACTGCTGGTATGAGTATGAGCAAGAACACGACGGTCATCACGCTCAACGGGAAAGCCATTCTTCACTTGCCCTGCCTTCAATTGTAAATTTAATTTGCGAGCTTTTGAGGAAATTGAGAGTCGGTTATGCGCGCGGCTGTGGTAGTGACGGGAGGCGTTGCCGCAGGTGGGACGGCAATCCTCAGTCGTTTCGAGCTCAGGAAGAACCTCGAGGCCAACAGCCCGCCGGTGCTGTGCTACCTGAGGACCCACATCAACGAGGCCATCGTCAGTGACACGCCCAGACTCACCAGCCCTTACACACCACCACCATGGTACTCCCACAACCCTCGCTCATTGACACACAGACAGGAACCAGACCTACCAGACAGGAGAGGAAGAGTAGAGACGAATGGGCGACGCAACGCAACGAGGAAGGAAGGCCTTCTGTCTGTCTGTCTGTCTGTCTGTCTGTGTCATCCCATGCATCAGGTGTTCGGGCAAGCACACGCAGATTATCGTATGGATGTGAGTGGCCGGCCAGGGGGGGGGGGGGGAGG